CAAAGTGAAAGATTCATAAAGAAAATCGAAATAAACCAATTTTAATTTTGTAGAATATCCGAGGAAACATCTAAGACATAAAAAATTTTTTTGGTTTTTTTTAACTTTGACGAAATTCAGTGTTGAATGCTTATATCCACGAAAATAGGTTACACCACTGTACAGTATTCTAAATGAAGTGATTGTCTACAAGTACTTATCTTAGTTTTCCCATAGCTACTAGTAGTAATCTACATGTACCTTACAATAGAGACTATATACAAGTGCCATGAAATGACTTTATAAGGAGAATATTGTCAGCAGATTAATATCAGAACACCAAGCAAGGAATATTGATAAAAGAACTACGATCAATCTGTCTGGCCTTGGTCTTAAAAGCAGCTTTGATCAAATTTCCTTGATTAAACTTTCATAAGCGTGAACATGTTCACCACAAACTCTTTCAGACATTCAGTAATACAGCTTCAACATTTTACCGCAACTCACTCTCAAAATCAATCCTTGAATGTTTGTTTTGCCTTGGTCAAAGATATTATGATTTGAGATATACAGCTGATGAAAGAAACATGCAAGATTGTACAATGCGAGATGAAAGAAATTTTGCCATGGGAGTTTTACGTCCTAATTTTCTGCATCTATTGGGCTAATGAAAAATGTGCATAGCCTGTAGACCATGAGGCCTCGGTTTTTCCATGCCACCCCCTTCAACCTGCATCACTGACAAGGGGAAACTGTTATACCAGTGCATAATTCATATACTCATCATTTTAATGGAAATTTTGATGCTTAAAATTTTCATTCTTCCACACATTGCATGTATGTTTTTAAGGGATTCAGGGTTTGCATCTTTTAAGCATTAAGAAAAAATTATGCACTAAAAGATGAAACTATTTGGTTGAAGATTATAGGAAGATTAATTACCAGTACATCTATAAATAACATCAGCTCTGTAGTCCGTGAAATATGCGGACCATATAAGAAATCTAATTTGGTTTTAATCAAATGCTATATCTAGTTTTGATTTTAATGTGAAAAAATTAGACAAACTTGGTTGAATTATTCTGTCAGATGGAAAACTTTAAGAAATGAAATATACATTCAAATTCTTCAACTCAATAGGTCTGATTATCATAGCTACTGCTTGAATGCATCCAGACTCACAAGAGATATCTTTTTTGATTACATTTTTCTAATATGTGTTGGAAGTTGTGGTGACCCAAAAAAAAAAAAATAATAATATTATAGGAATACTTTTTCAAATTACATCAAATGAGGATTTAAGCCCTTTTATTTAAAACAATTTTGGTGACGATGTGACTTACCTGCTCCATTGAGGTGTCACTGATGCAGGTTAGAAGGGCTGACATGGAAAAAGCGTTCAGTTGTTCAGATGGGACAATAAACCGAGGTCCTGCCTGCTACAGGTTGTGCATGTCAAGATCCCTCGACAGATGGAAATTGAAAAAGAGTAGGCTTATTCAGCTGTCATGGCACAAGTTCCCTAATTGTATACTGCATGGTGTTGCCCATCGTCATTAGCCCAAAAAGATGCTGAAGAGTAGGGCGTAAAACTCCATTCATTTAACATTTGTTGAGGTTAAAAGATAGCTTGCCAGGCAAGGTAATATACGCCCTCTGGCAGCTTTGATTTTAAATAAAAATATTTAGCAGTACAGTAACAATCACCAGTATGAAATATTCTTTTTAGGGCGATACTGAATAATATTGAGTATGAGTTATTGCCCTTGTTCTTGAAAACGTGTTCAATTTTTAGCTTGTGAAAACTCTAGAAGGCAAATATTCAATCTTCAGTGCGTTACTGAATATTAAAACCAAGTTTTGTCAAAATCCGGCAAGAATCATGCTTTTTTATACGCCCACATGAAATGGGGGGCGTATATTGTCGTTACCCATATCCGTCGGTCCGTCCACAATTGCTCGTAAACACTCTACAAGACACAATTCTTGACGTATTTTGACAAAACTTGGTATGAGTGTTCGTAATCACCCAAGGATGAACCCTATTGAAAATCAGAAGAATCGAAATATTTAGTATAAGTTATTGCCCTTGTTCTTGAAAACGCGTTCAATTTTTAGCTCGTAAACACTCTAGAAGGCACAATTCTTGATGGATTTTGGAGAAACTTGGCATGAGTGTTTGTTATCATCCAAGGATAAACCCTATTGAAAATCAGAAAAATCAAAAAATATTGGGTATGAGTTATTGTCCTTGTTCTTGAAAACGCGTTTAATTTTTAGAACGTAACCACTCTAGAAGTCACAATTCTTGATAGATTTTGACGAAACTTGGTGTGAGTGTTCGTAATCACCCAAGGATGAACCCTATTGCAAATAAGAAGAATCGAAAAATATTTAGTATGAGTTATTGCCTTTGTTCTTGAAAACGCGTTAAATTTTTAGCTCGTAATCATTCTAGAAGGCACAATTATTGAGGGATTTTGATGAAACTTGGTTTGAATGTTCGTTATCACCCAAAGGATGAACCCTATTGAAAATCAGAAGAATTGAAAAATATTTAGTATTTGAGTTATTGCCCTTGTTTTTGAAAATGCTTTCAAATCAAGCTCTTAAACACTAAAAGGCATGATTCTTGCCGGATTTTGACAAAACTTGGTTTTATTATTTGCTGAAGATTGAATATTTTCCTTCTAGAGTTTTCACGAGCTAAAAATTGAACACGTTTTCAAGAACACGGGAAATAACTCATACTCAATATTATTCAGTATCAGTCTAAAGAGTTCAACCCTGCTAGAAAACACTGAAACTTGAAAATATTGAGTATGAGTTATTGCCCTTATTCTTGAAAACGCATTCAATTTTTAGCTTGTAAACACTCTTGTAGGCACAATTCTTGACGGATTTTAACGAGTGTTTGCTATCACCCAAGGATAAAGCCTATTGAAAATCAGAAAAATCGAAAAATATTTAGTATGAGTTATTGCCCTTGTTCTTGAAAACTCGTTCAATTTGTAGCTCGTTAGAACTCTAGAAGGCATGATTCTTGCCGAATTTTGACAAAACTTGGTTTTATTATACAGTACCGCGCTGAAGATTGAGTATTTGTCTTCTAGAGTTTTCACGAGCTAAAGATTGAACACGTTTTCAAGAACAAGGGCAGTAACTCATACTCAATATTATTCAGTATCGCCCTAAAGAGTTCAAAAGAAGTGTATGACTGAAAGTTGAATATTTCATACTGGTGATTGTTTCTGTACTGCTAAATATTTTTATTCAGAATCAAAGCTGCCAGTGGCTGATATTACCTTGCCTGGCAAGCTATCTTAGTGTTTAAAATCCATCAGTTGGTCAACAATTGCTCGTAAACACTCTACAAGATACAATTATTCTGGACGGATTTTAACGAAACTTGGCATGAGTGTTTGTAAACATCCAAGGATGAACCCTATAGGAAATCTGAAGAATCGAAAAATATTGAGTATGAGTTATTGCCCTTGTTCTTTAAAACGCGTTCAATTTTCAGCTCGTAAACACTCCAGAAGGCACAATTCTTGATGGATTTTGACGAAACTATGCAGGAGTTTTTGTTTTCAACCAAAGATAAACCCTATTGAAATTCAGAAAAAACGAAAAATATTTAGTATGAGTTAGTGGCCTTCTTCGTGAAAACGCGTTCAATTTTTAGCTCGTTAGCGCTCTAGAAGGCACAATTCTTGACAGATTTTGACATAACTGGGTGTGAGCATTCGTAACCACCCAAGGATAAACCCTATTGAAAATCAGAAGAATCAAAAAACGTTTAGTATGAGTTATTGCCCTTGTTCTTTAAAACGCTTTCAAATTTAGCTCTATAACACTAAAAGGCATGATTGTTGCTGGATTTTTACAATACTTGGTTTTATTATTCAGTCCCTCGCTGAAGATTGAATATTTGCCTTCTAGAGTGTTCACGAGCTAAAAATTGAACAAGTTTTCAAGAACAAGGGCAATAACTCATATTCAATATTATTCAGTATCGCCCTAAACAGTTCAAAAGAAGTGTATGACTGAAGGTTGAATATTTCATACTGGTGATTGTTACTGTACTGCTAAATATTTTTATTCAAAATCAAAGCTGCCAGTGGGCGTATATTACCTTGCCTGGCAAGCTATCTTTTCTTTTTTGTAATCAGCCTATTTCATGTGGGCGTATAAATATCTGCACAAATAACACACAGTTCAGTTTGTTAATATAAATTAAAGTTGTTCATCAAGGATGAATTGGTCATGTTTATTTTATGTGCTGGTTATATTCTAGATGTATTGTTCATTCTCACCTGTTTAATGAGGTCATAGAAGTCAAATCTGATGCATTCATTTTCAGAAATAGAATGCTCTGTGCATAATATATAGTTCATCTCAGTTATCACAGTCACAGGAAAATTCTAACTTGTGGCTAAAAATGATCTGTTGAATAAGATCAAGGGGATAATTTTGAAAAAGGCTTTATTCTTAGTAAGGAAGGAGGTAAATGCTATCGATCAAGGATCCTCAAAGGGGTAATAAAAAGGTTGAAAATCCTTATGTTAGATTTTACACACAATTGTCTAAATTTCATGATAATTCCTTGGTAATTATTGTATTCCATGAAAGCTTGAACCCTATTCAGTGAAAATATTGTTAAGTTAAGAAGAAACTGGTAAATGTTTCCGCACTAATGATCTTAGGAAACCTATTCTTAGGACATACTTAATGTTCAGCATGGAATGTGATTGGAGGAAGGAACAATTGTTTTCAAACTCAATTGCATTGTTCTTTGTCTTTCAATAATGATCTGGCAGAAACCTTATTTTGGCTATAGTAGAAAAATCTGATGCAAATGCAAATGTTTGATACCAGCTGTTGTTCTTGTAAGTGCCGTGTAAACAAGGTTCCACTGTGCATACTGTTGTGTTACCTTGTTGGATAAGTTACTTTCAAAGGTCGTGTAACACTCGTTTGAATGAGATCAAGAAAAAAGAGTTCATTATCGGGCCATCTATATGCTTATTTGTATCGATTTTTTTTTTCAGATTTTTGACGGAAATGATGACACATATAGAGCAGAATTACGTGAAGTTTCACCCCCAATAATAGCAAAGCGTCTTCGATTCATTCCACATAGTCAACATCAACGAACAGTCTGTATGAGAGTTGAGATGTATGGATGTCCATGGACAGGTAAATACTTATGAACACTTTTATAGTGTGTAGTATGTGTAGTGTGCTAATCTGCTAAATACTAGGAACAGGGTTCAATTTCAGGAGTATTGCATTTCGGAGATTTAAAATGACCCCCTTTTGCTATCCAATATTTCCAATTATTAGCCCAAATAAAAATTAACCACAACTTTTTGCGAATCAAATCGAATACCAGTTTTTATACACCCACATGATAATTTTTTACCGAAATATCATGTCCGACTTTGTGTTTTCATTCTATTAGCTATGTTGTGAAACTTTTGCTCCTCTACAGGCAACAATTCTTTATGGATTCTTTTGATTTATATTTTGTGGGTCAATGTCATTATGAAGATGATCCCTATTGATTTTCGTGATGAGCTGATAATTTAATGAATTGTTTTTGAGGCTTAAAGAACTAATGTCATTGGCACGATCGATCTGAAGTCTCTGCCACTGGAACATTTTGAATTACTACCAAATTCATATGAAATGCAAATCAAAATTTAACTTGATTAGCAAAAACTGGAATTTGGTTAGATACACTGCTAATCAAATTTTCATTTCTAAATTGAACCCTGCTAGAAAACACTGAAACATGAAATGTGGAGCGTATATTGCCGTCACCCATATCCGTCGGTCGGTCCGTCCGTCCGTCCGTCCGTCCACAATTGCTCGTAAACACTCTACAAGGCACAATTCTTGACTGATTTCGACGAAACTTGATATGGTTGTTTGTAATCACCCAAGGATGAACCCTATTGAAAATGAGACGAATCGAAAATATTTACTATGAGTTATTGCCCTTGTTCTTGAAACGCTCGTAAATACTCTAGAAGGTGCAATTCATGACGGATTTTGATGAAACTTGGTTATCGCACAAGGATAAACCCTATTGAAAATCAGAAAAATTGAAAAATATTTAGTATGAGTTATTGCCCTGTTCTTAAAAACGCGTCAATTTTAGCTAGTAAACACTCTAGAAGGCACAATTCTTGATGGATTTTGACGAAACTTGGTGTGAG